AATGAAGGGATTATTTAAAAAAAAAAAAAAAAAGTAGCTACTGTTTACAAAATACTTGGGTGGGGGGTGCCTAGTACCTTAGTTGAATCTGTGTGATAAAGTTACTGAAACTGAGACACTTAACAGTGAACATCTTGGCTTGCTAGTCACTATTAAGGTGTTCTATATGTAGGTCATTATGTAGGCTATATCAGATGGGTACAGAAAATATTTAAACAATACTGTCAATAATAAATGCTGTTAAAATTAACTAAATTATGTTCCGTTATGAGGGCTAGAAAACAAGCAGAACAAAATACATCAGAAAACTATAGAAACATTCTCATCTCAGAATTCTCCGACCATTAATGTGTACCTTAGAACAACCCCCGTCACTAACAATACTACTGATTGTTATGTGTGTCTTTGTAATGAGTTGTATTGACTTACTGGATAAGACCTACCTGAACATACCAAGGAAGATTTTTTTTTACCTATCTCTTTAAAATGTAAATCAGTGCAGTTTTTTCATAAAAAGTTTTTCCTTTTTAAGCAGATATCAAAATAAGTTTCCTTTATGGAGTCAATTAAAACAAAAGTACTTGTTTTATGTAGTGATTGTAATAAAAACGTACAAAACTTGAATATTTTTTCCTACAAAGCTTAATAAAAACCAAAATTCCTGCTGTTGGTTTAAAACTCTGAAGACAAGCCAACTGCAGTGACACTTGTTAGGATTTCTCTATCAGGATGGCAAGTGAATATTTTCTGTTAATCATTTCACTGGTGTTGTAGTAGTCAGAGTACCAGTGTCATTTTTTAAATCACAAAGGACAGAACAGTGACTTCAGTGCAAGATAAAGAAGCTAGATTATGAGGGGGCAAAGGGACAGACATCTGCACTGACCTACGTTCAGAAACTGCAGGCTGAGCACTTCTGTAAAAGTAATTTTTTTCCTTTTAAAATGGGTCTTTCTAGCTTGTCAGTATGAGAACCTGTCTCTCAAAAACAGAAGTTTTCCACATTTTATAAATGAAACTTTCTGAAATTAATGGTTCTATTTTTCTGGATAGGAAATTCAAAACAAGCAGAAGGCGGGACCTACAGATGAGACGCCTCGTCGGGGTCCAGAGTCTCTTCCAGTCGGACACCATGACATCATCACAGATATTGCTACTTTCCAGACTACTCAAGGATTTATAGTAACTGCATCAAGAGATGGCATTGTTAAAGTGTGGAAATAAGAGTTGCACTAATATATAGTCTGTAAATATTTGTAATAAAGAAATAGAATTATACTAAAACTTTTGAGAATTGTTTCCAGAGCATGGAACAGAATGGAGTCTGAAGAATATGAAGGTGACCATAAGACAGATATCAATATTAACCAAACTCGTTAAAGACTCTTTTGCAGATCCCTTATTTTATTAAAGCTGCGTGGTTTCTGTAGTACTCCTTGAAGAACTAAACAAAATTGGTTCATGAAGAAATTGTCTTTAGCCTAGTGGTAACCATAGTATTCTTCAGGAACTTCTAAGGAAATAGTTTTTAATTTGCAATGTGAGGCTTCTTAAACAATGAAAGCTACTAACTCTTAAAAAGAGTCTGAAGTCGGATTTTTTTTTCTACATTGAGTCTGAGAACTGAAAAAGAACCTGTTGCACTAGCATCTATGTATACTCTGATTAAACATGCATAATAAACTATTTGAGCTTTCTTGTACAGTTATTTTGTCTGCAGTATCTATTGTCCCTATATCCCTGTGGGATACTGGACCTTTAACACCTGTTTGGCATATTGTTCCACTACACACAAGATTCTGCTTTACTCGTTTCACCAGCAGTCATCTTATTAGTTTGATTTTACTATATAAGAGGAAACAGAAAACCAATTCTTATTGCTTAGAATTTCTTTTCTACACATTGCCTTTCTATTCCTCATGTGGTAATGAAATCATAAGCAACACAAAGATGGAATAATGGCTTCTCCAATTCCATAATACTGAGGCAAGAAAAATGAAGGGGTAATAAGCTTGGTATGTGTGTGGATTCTGTGACTTGTTTTATTTCCTATCAGCAAGCAGTTCCAAACTGGCTTTTGTGTGGATGCACTGGCTGGCCAGGAAATGTTCCTCTTACCGTCACTAGGCTTGATGTCTTAACTGACATAAGTGCATTGCATTTGCTTCTAGCTATTGCTGTCTTGTAAAACAAAACACCAGCTGATGTTTCAGATAAGTAGTTTTAATTAGTGTAAAGACATGTATAAAGTGCATTAAAAATGTTCAGTATGATAGTAACAAAGTAACAGAAGGTGCATTGTAAAACTATCCCCTTTGAAATGGCTTTCACTGAAGGTGAGAGATTTATACAGAAAAGAGGGGAGTAGTGAAACTTCAAAAACTGACGCATAAAACGTTAAGCTGATCTGAAGTATATACAGTATAGCGTGTGAGTATGGTACTGTTGACACTGACTTTTATATTACAAAAGATTTTTTTGGGCTCAGCTTGTTTCCTATATTCATCTAAGTTGACATTTTTTTACTCATCCTTACAGATAATACTGCTTATGGGGAACACATTTGGTTTTAGCAATTCCGTTTAGCAATTTCGGCTGTTTTCATAATACTGTTACATGTATGAAACTTGAGAGAAGTACTTTAGATCCTGTTGAAAACATCTTGCATTCAAAAGCTTGTCTTGTTTTATTCTAGCCATGCAGTTGGTATATAATAGAAGATATCACCCCCCCCAAAATATCTTACTTTTCATATCATTCCTGGACCTTCACAGCTACCTGACTTTAGCACTACCATAGTCTTTTTATACTACTTTTGATATCATGCCAGTTAAACTTGAGGTTTCACTGTATAAAAATAAACCCTAAGACATTTTCATGTCAAAATCGTATTAAAGTACAAATAGAATGAAATTCCCTCAAATAGAGCTTTGTAGGCACCAGCACTTCCATCGTGTGAAATGTTGCAATTCTGAAGTTTTTCTGTTCAAGTCAGAAATATACAATCTTCCCTAAATTGAAACAATTTAAAAAGCACTTTTTGCAAGAGCTACAGTACATTTTTTTTTGAAACTTTCTGAGCTAACAAGCCAATTTCCCTGTCAACATTTCCATGCATTGTTTCAGGTTAGTTGAACCATTTTCAAACAGGAAACTGTTCCCTCAGAAATTTTTACTAGTTCAACTTAGGCTTTCCTCCATTCTTTAATACCCAAGTAGCATGCAGAATTAAAGGCCAAATTTGAGGCAGAATTGTTGCTTTCAAGGAGATGCACTCTTTGCATTCTTACTTTTAGTCCCCTTTGTCTTAAGTAAATCAGTCAAAAAGCAGCCCTATAACTAGTTTTTGTTTGTCTAAAGAAGCATAATAGCAAATAAATTGCCTTCTTATCTTTAGTTAGTGAAACTTATGCCTGTAAAAGCAGAATGAGGAAAATAGTTTCATGGTAATGAATCTGAATCATGGCTTAAGGCATTATGCATGCTGTGGCATGTGGCGCTGGGCACTTTAATTAACAAGCCATGCCAATTAAAAATTGCCCGGGCGTCTCGTGTATCAGCGACCCCGTGCTTAAAAATGGTAGTGGGGCACTTTGAAATAAAATATGTTTGATCAGCTTTAGTTCAAAGTGGCCTGCCACCATTTTTTCAGTGTGAAGACATGCTGGGACGCATCAGTTTCCATATTCCAGCAGACTTGATCAGTTGAGTCTGCTCCAACGCGCTGGATTTTCAGTGCATCAGAGCAGGCTCCGTGCACATGTACAGGAGCCTTTTGTATAACACCTCTCTCCAGTAACCAAGTCAGTGTCTTCTGTTGTCAGACAGCTCCACCAAGAGTTCCAGCAGAATGAAAGCTGGTAGTTCTTTAAAGTCAGGGTTTTGAAAGTTACCAAATGCCTCCACCTCCCACTGAAGTGAATGGGAGTTGAGAGCACTTACTGCTGGAGAGAATCAGACCTGGAATCTGTTTGCCTTCTTTTTTTCTTTTTTTTTCTTTAAAGAAAAGACATTTGCCTAATGTTAAAAATGAAGGTTATAATGGATGTGAAACATCATGGCAAGATTTCTTCCATGGTGCACCTAGAAGAAATCTTGTTCACTGTTGCCCAACCTTGAAAAAGACTTAGAAAAGAGGAATTACTGCTTTGGAAAAACACTGCATATCAGAATCATGCCTCATAATTTGTTTTGTTCACCCCGAGGCCAGTGTCCAGTTTCAGTCACTACCTTGAATTTTGAAGTCTGTCCATCTGTAAATCAAAATAAAGAGCAAAACAGATGACAATATCCGTAAAAAAAAGAACTAAAACAATTCATTCTTAATTCTTGTTTCTATAGGCTTTGTAGTAAGGTAATATTTACCCCTACAAAAACAATTCATGATAGCCATATACCACATCCTGAGTAGGCAGAATGTGCTGTAGGGCCCACCCTTTGTAAGAGCCAGGAAAGGAACAAGTCCTACTTGACTGGCCCAATGCAGCCAGTCTCTGGGCCATGGGGAGGTGTGGGAAGATGGACAGAAGCTGCAGCTCAGACAGCACTGGTCCCTCAGCCCAAGTTGTGGAGAGGTGGGATCCAGTCCGTGGACCAACTTTGTGCCACTTACTTCAGATCATATACAGGATAAGTCTTCATTACTGCTATTTGTTATAGCCACATGTTCCGTTTCGTTTCCGGTTGCTGAATCCTCATATGCAGTGCTGATAAAATCAGTATCTAGAAAGTCGTCATGGAGGTCAGCCTGTAACATGCTGAATAAATGTCCTACAGCTGCAAGATATGCATCTGAGGCATACTCTTCTGCTGAGCCTTCGGTGTGGGTGCCAAAACTAGTAATTAGAAAACAGGAAGTATTTTCATAGGGCAGTACTCTGAAAAAATAACTGGCCTGATTAGTTAACATGCTCTTTTGACTTTCCCTTTTTCTGTGCTGCATCTTAAGTAATGATCAACCCATGAATTTAAGAATCTTGATTGGACCAGGATCTGAAACAGCATACGAAAGCAAATAATTTATTGTCAGACTAAGGCAGTCAGAGCTCTGTCAGAATGCAGTCTGAGGAACCAGGAACAATTTTGCAGAGGGGAAATTTTGTGTGGTGTAAGATGTTTTGTCTGGTTTTAAATCATTTTTAAAAATTGCAGGTGTATCTTCCAGTAAACAAAAAGCAATTTTGTTTGGCTCTTACTTTTGATGGCAAAAAATGAAATTGCTTCCCAACCCAAAGGTCCCAATGGAAGTACTCAAATAAAGTGAAGCATATATACAAGTGACTGCAGGATCAGGGCTTTTGATAGGAATCCCTACCACTAAGAACCCTTGGACTTTCATATCAATTTTCCCATTTATGTCAAAAAGTCTTAATAAAATTAGTGGACTCACAGGGTTGGTCTTGGAAAACTGGCTGTCTCGCAACGTGTCCTAAGCTCTGCTGGTGGATACCTGTTAATGGAACCTGACAAGAAAGCGGGATGCAGTCATGAAATACACCCACTCAGTGGAATTTGAAATACTTTCTACCAACATTGGCCTCATTCAACAGGGAAGCATTTAATGAATACTGTAAACTACATCCTATGCTTGAAGTTTACCACTCTTACATTCTTTACAACATTCCATCTAATCCATATTGGATTACTTTGACAGCAGCCCTACTGGTAGACTTGGTACAAATATTTTTTGTTTCTTTGTGCATATACATAATGCCTAAGAATAGTGCACAATGCAGTTGTTCAATTGCACTCTCTGTTCAGTACCTTACAGTTTCACTTTTACCTGGAGGTCTAGAAATCATACCATTTGTTCTATGTTAATACAAAAAAACCTAACTTTATCAATTAGCAAGTCAATGTTAAGACAGCAAGCATGTCAGGATGACTGCCAAAACACATATAATAACTTCCCCTAAATCAGCCTCTGCAAGCACCACAGGTTGTTACCCTTCCAGAATACTGGATCTAGCCCCCATCAGTAGTTTCTTTTAATTTATATCCTAGCATCACAACAACACAATCTTCACAACACACCCCTCTGTGGCTCTATTAGGTCAGCATTTTGGCTGTCTATTGAATAAATACTACAGAAATAGTATCAGTAGACACCGATTCATATACTAGTAGAGGCCAGAGTTGACCAGCAGTAATTACTGTCTGAAACTAGTCAGGCAATCTATGTGAAACAAGATTAGGGATGCTAGTATAGATACTACTTTACATATTTGCATATGTGTAAAGCCAGTCACAAAAACCAAATGGCTCCGATGTTGATAGTACGAAAGTCTAAGAATGGATAAATATGGAAATTTAATTAGATAGCCAAGAATGGAACTATAAAGTAATAACTTACTCCGGAAGAGATGTACAAATGCTTTCATAAATCTCTCTATGTATCCAAGATCGGGCTTATGCATTCTGCCAAGCTGAACCAAATGCTGTTCTAAGGGAATGCTAGCAAGCTCTTCCAGTTCTTTGTCATTACACAATGGCCCCAAAGAAATTACAAACAGAGCATATCCTTGGCACTTGGCTGTCAGCAATGCTTCCTTTAATATTTCCTTGTCCCATGAACTTGTTTCTCCAGCAGATATAACAATGATGACTTTGTTTGGTCTTGGGTTTGGAGCCTCTAAGAAAATATTTTCCATTACCCACTCAATGGTATGCCCAAGAGCAGCTTCTCCATTCAGCTGTTGAAGAGAATTTTTTATATAATTCTGCATTAAGAATTTACTGCTGTGGGTGACTAAGCTAAACTCCTTCTTTACTGGGCTCTTGCCTGTCCTGGGTTTGAAACCTGGTGGAGCATGGCTCACCATAGCTACTCTATCACCTGTAGCAGAAACAATTGGGTAAGAGGAAATGACAAAGGCATCAAGTGCTTTGCTGAGGAAGACTTTCACTTTCTCAAATTCATCACTGCTCGTTTTCCAGGAGCTATCCAAAATGAAAGCAGCATCCACATAGATCTGTGGTGGAGAGGGTTCAGGAAGCATACAGGAGGCATCTGGGTTACACTTGTCTGCAAAAAAACACAGAAGTAGTAGGTTGTAGCTGTATTGGTCTAGTGGCAAAACTAATCAGGACTCATGGT